TTTAACAATATAAAAGGAGTTTTCAATAGATCAAATAATAAGAGCATATGTAGCAACGAAAATTGAACACATATATAAGTTACCCATGATGATTGTTGTTCTTTTTTCTTTGAAAATGATAGAAGTACAAGGTACAATTTTAGCATTAGTTGTGACACAATTCCCGCACTGAAAGTTAAAATCTAAACTTGTGTTTGCAAGTTTGTTCATTATATTGAGCAATCCAGCAAACCATGGCATTATCATATAATTTAGTTTGGGTTTTATTATATCCGGTTTTGGGATTGTTTGGTTTAGTTTATCTTATTCTTGGACAAAAGGAAGTTTATTTTATTCTTATCCCAAACTAGGGTTGTAACTCGGGCGGGCCCAGTCCAAAAGAACCCGAGCCCAGCCTAAAATTTTGTAGGCTTAGGCAATGTTTTTCTAATTTCGGTTTGCGCCTAGGCCATATATTATGGATGAAGCCCGAAACCCAACCCAAGCCCAAAAATATTATATATATTTATAATTAGACTTAAGTTACAAGAGTGTATTAGCTAAGTTGGTAGTGCGCTTTGAATTTATGCTTAAGGTTTCAAGTTCAAGTTATGGGTGTAGCATCAATTAAATTATTTTTTACACACAAATTCTTCTGAAGTCGGCTTAGTGTGGGCTGGGCTTGGATAGCTCGGCTAGGGCTGGGCTTATGCTGAAGATTTTCTATATGGGCTTAGCTCGAGATGAGTGCCAAGCCCACCCAACCCGTCCGAGTTGCAACCCTATCCCAAACAAACAAATTAGATAAAATGGTCATTTTACATGACTTATATTTATACTTATTAATATATTCTACTAAAATGAGGGTATTATCATTATTTTGAGTCTCCATAGAATTATTTGCACCAAATCAATAGTATAGAGGAGTTTTAAACTACAGAGAAACTATTTTGCATTATATTGATAGTAGAAGAGAGTTTTCTGCACTTAAACCTTTTGTAATCGCCATAAGTTGGTAGCTCATGAGAAGGAGGAGTCTCGGTTGAGGCAACTACTTGAGAAGACATTGAGGTACTGAAAGCAATGAGATCGAAAGCCGTTATAAGAAGATTTGAGTTCATATGATACCAAAAAGATTTTTGTTTTGCTAAAGCACGCGTCTGAACAAGATAAGCATGCATGTTCAATCACAGCATGTATGGTTTTTTGAGAAATTATTACATGATTCGATATAAGATGGTCTCCACTAATAAAAAAATCTTAATAAGAATAAAATTGATATAATTGTTTATGTGTCAAGTTGTGATTTGCCTATTGTCACGAGCCTAGAGATTTGGCGCAGCGGCACGGCCCGTGCGGCATCAAGGCGTTGCTTCAGCTCGCGCAAGCACCCTGGTCAGCCACCATGACCTACCCTCCCAAGGATACATGCTGACTGTCTTATCAGGGGAACGGCTCCAGCTCCTGACCAGTTTGTGCAGGGATGGCTAACTTCCTTCTTCACAGTCAAGTCCACGACTAGCGACAAGCACCTCAAATTGAACCGAGTCGACCTGCCTGAACTTTGAAGAGGTACCATCTTGTGGTCTTGCACGCCCCTTCCCTGGAATCATTCCCAATCAATGAATGTTCTTAGCCAGCCAGCATGCGTGTCTTCTATGCTCATGGCGTCGTTAGGAATCGGAACGTGACATTCTGCCCCACCCAAATCCTGTGACACCCTCGTCGCAGTGCGGCGCTGACTCCGCTGCGTCCAACATTCCAAAGTCTCTCTCCTCCAAGTGGTATGCTCGCCTGCCCACCATCGCTTCCTTGTACAACCCCTGGCTGCACTCGTCCAATGATAAGGTTCCGGGCTAAAGGGACGCCCACTTCTTTGGGACGCAACCCCAAGTTATGCCGCCTCCGCGACACCCCGAGCAAGCAAGGGCCCTCCGGTTGACTTAATACCCGCCCTTCACAACGGTTTGCATGCCTCTTGAACTTGTAAGAACTTTGGCGCACGCGGCCCTCCGGCCATCCGATGTGCGCAGCCCTCCGGCTTCAAAGGACGCATCTTCCTAGGGAGATGAAGGCTCTCCTCCAACAGCATTGATTGCCCACCAACGCTTTAATGCACCCACTTCATTCTCAAGACCCCCGGATTGACAAAGGGGTACACCTCTGTGCTTTACCCCAAGTCTGGCTCTGATACCATTTGTCACGGGCCTAAATATTTGGCGCAGCGGCACGGCCCGTGCGGCACCAAGGCGTTGCTTTAGCTCGCGCAAGTGCCCTGGTCAGCCACTACGATCTGCCCTCCCAAAGATACATGCTGACTGGTTTCGACCTGCCTTGGCCTCATCAGGGGAACGGCTCCAGCTCCCGACCAATTTGTGCAGGGATGGCCAACTCCCTTCTTCATAGTCAAGTCCACAACTAGCGACAAGCACCTCGAACTGAACTGAGTCGACCTGTATGAACTCTGAAGAGGTACTATCTTGTGGTCCTGCACGCCCCTTCCCTGAACCATTCCCAGTCAATGAATGTTCTTAACCAACTAGTATGCGTGTCTTCTATGCTCATGGCATCGTTAGGAATCGGAACGTGACACTATGCTAACTTATGCAGTCCGGGACATGTAAAAATTTATAATGGTGTTTTTTCAATGCTTGTATGTGTGTGCATGTGAAACAATCCTACACTTTTTTATTAACAGGAAGTGGTTGATTGGTTGACACTAGGAAAGAAGATGACTAGCCCTGTATATAAAATTAAGGGAAAATTACATATAAATGGAGTTAAAGTTCCATATTTACTTAGAGACTGAGTCAAAGTTTCATATTTCTCTAAAATAGATTGCTGAGGTGTCACATGGTTTTTTATTGTTTAGAAAATTGTGGTGCCTAAAATGCCCTTCCCTAACAAAAAAGTAGTACCTTCAGTTCAAAAAAGTAGTACCTTCAGTTTAAAAAAGTAGTACCTTCGGAGAAAAAGTAGTACCTTCGCGGGTGTTTAAAAAACATGGTACCTGGACACCAAAAAGTAGTACCTTCAGTTCAAAAAAGTAGTACCTTCGAAGAAAAAGTAGTACCTTCGCGGAAGGGTATTTTAGGCACCACAATTTCTAAACAGTAAAAAACCATGTGCCACCTCAGTAATCCATTTTAGAGAAATATGGAATTTTGACTCAGCCTCTAAGTAAATATGGAACTTTGACTCCATTTATATGTAATTTTCCCTAAAATTAACAATCCTGCACTTTCTTTGAAAACCGACATGAGTGGTGCTTTGAGATCTCTGAAAGATGATTTCTTCTTATCTAGATAAGGTGAACCAATCGATGTGTATGGTCCATGAAGAAAGACCTTCTGGAAGAGGATTTCTTCTTTATCTTTACTTCAATGATTCCACTCACACTATGAGAATGGTGACATATCATTTAATAAAATTTAGATATACAGTGTGAATGCAATTGAGTCTTTGTGAGCACCGATGCACAAGGCGGTTAATTGAGGCTGTACGTGATTGGTGTAAAACGGTGGGTGATGAGTTTATTAATTTATACCAAAATTTGTCACGAGCCCAAAGTTTCGCATGCACTTAATACTCCTGGTGAGCTAGTTGAAGTTTCGCAACTACTCGGTACGAGTTCTACAAAGTTACTGACTCGTCAGAGGTGAGGTGCTAAAATTGAATTCTCTCTGCCATCTTGAAATTTCGCAAAGCAGTAACAATATAAATTGTGTTTGAACTATTGAAATGTCTCTCTTTATTATTATTTCATTTTACCATATAATTCTCTTTTTATCTATGATACTATTAGTAGAATTAAAATAAAATATTTGACATTTTCCTACTAAGAAAGTGTTAGTTTCATCATGAGAATTGTTACTGTTATTATGTTCTAATTTAATCATTTTCTAAATATGCACTTAGGAAAGAAATATTGTATTCTTTACTTTCTTTGGGCATTTTCTTTATTGATGTGTATTTTTAGAATATTTTAGAATATATTGTATAATATATTCCAACTTTATATAGGATTACATTGTATATAATTACCATATATATATAGTTATCATATACATCTAGAGTTTACTTGTTCATCACACATAATCCTCCTATATAAACCCCTCTTGTATATATCTTATTTCACATTAATATAATATACAGAGTTCTCTATTTTGTATTTAACATGTATTTTTTCTATAAAAAATAAAAAAAAAAAAAAAAATTCTGATTAAATTGTTAATCATATCGTATTGGTCTACATTGACCTTTCTAAACATATATATTGATTTCAAGGTTGAAATATATGACATTTTATTTTTATGATTCCAACCGTGTTATTTTGACTTTTATACTGTAAATCAAGCGTCTCTATAAGACTGCATGAAAGGAATTAATGATTTTGCTTCACCATTATTTTAGTGAGGAATTAAAGACTTTGTACCTCATGATTAAGGAACGGTATGTGCTCCTAGATCAACAATATCAATAGCGATGTTACAAAATATTCTACGTTGGTATCATGTTTATTAATGATTGAACAAAACAATGAGCTTTTGATGAAAAATCAGAATTCCTATTCGGTCAGATTGACAACATTTCTTCAAGCAAATATAGCTTCATTTTACTATCATGGTCATGATCCATGTATGAATGCGGTAAAGGGAACCATGGTAATCGTGATAAACATTATTTCTCAATATTTTTCACAAGGAATTCCACACCTCATCACCAAAAGTGAAATACAAATGAGATCAAGAACAACAAAAAAAAAAAGGAGTTTTTATTTACGACAAATTTCATAGCAAATTGTACAAATTTAGTTGCAAAAAGTCTCAGACAAAAAACAATTTAATGCGACGAAAATAATTTTACTTTTTCGGTTGAAAATATGGTCTCGTCACTGTCAAATTTTATACGGAAAAAATTACGTCAGAAATAATGACTTTTGCAACTAAAATATCTTGTTATCAAGGTGGTGTCTTGCATTTTAGAATTTAGCAGCAGCGGCTAAACATATAAAACACACAAACAAGAACTACTGCTGTTACTTTATTTATGCCCATATTGGGTTGTACCTTGCAAATTCAATTCACTTCACTGCTTCACTCATATATATAACATATTGATAATTTTAGGAGCTTCATTTGTTGACTTGTAGGTCAATCATGGCTTGCAATGGGTTTTTTCCAATGGCGCCGTTTTGATGTAGTTCCATGAACTCTTTGTATGTGACGTCTCCATATTTGATCTCGCTCTCTCCATCCATTAGCGGGCTTGCAGGTGCAACTTTGGTCATTAGCCCAGGTCCATTGCCAACGGCTATTGATATCCTCGTTCTTTGTTTATCTGTCACACCTCGATGCTTCAAAGTTTTGTACCTTCCATTGCTCAATATCTAAGATCACAAAATTTTTTATTATGATCCAAGGTTTAAATAAGGATATGACCTCAAACTAAACCTAATTTGAGAATACAATTTTTAGAAAATTAGGTAGCTTCCATGAACCAATTGACAACCAATCGTCATCTAGTCCAATGGTATAATCTCCTCATTCTCAAAGAGGAGGGAAAAGGTCGTTTCTGAACAATTGGACTCAACCTTGGTCCGAAATACATGCTATTTACCATCAAACCTCTAAGCAATTAATATCCTGTATATTTTGTTAAATTAGAATTATATACTGTAACAGACAAACCTCCAAGTAATCTCCTACGTTGACAACAAAAGTCCCTGGCACGTGTCCAACGGCAACCCACTCTTCCTTGTGTTGAACTTGTAAGCCATCAACGTCATTTTGCATCAAAACTGTTAGTCCACCATGATCAGAATGTGGTGGTATGGCAAGTGTTCGGTGTGGCTCTGGACATGGAGGGTAATAATTAGCACCAACCACCTGAAAACCTTCTCCAAGTGACTTCTCTATGTAATCAGAGTCGAGTCCTAAGCTTTCTGACAGTGCACTTGCTATCTTCAGCTGCAACTGCCAAACCTCCTCTACAAATTCCTTCGCTATGTTCCTTTAATTCACAGATTTCGATTAATTTTGTAAAATGAAATTGAGAAAAATATGGTTCATTTATTTAAACATCTACTTACTTGTAGTTGGAGGGAGTGTTTGGCCAAAGATGAAAGCTAGTATGAAGAGGACGGCCATGATGCCTCAAATAGTCCCTCCACATAGCTTGCTTCATGGATGCATTCACGCTTGTTCCATACTTAACAGGTGGATTCTTCGGATCATCGGAAGCATATTTCATCTTCTCTTCCAAGGAGAGATTGAAAAATCCTACTACAGCCTCCAACATTTCCTCCATTAGAGATATCTTTATCCCGTGATTAACAACCTGTTCATTTTTATTTTGGTAATTATTAATTTAATACTAACAAAAGATATAATATATTAATGTTAAAACATGTAAATAGTGTTGTGAAATTAAACAAAAAAAATATACTTGAGTGGTCCAAAATTTGGAGTTACGTGTAAGACATAGCGGATACACAAAGTTCAGAATCACAACATAATAATTGTACAAATTATCAAAATACTCTCGCATTAGGACAACATAACAAGTTAAATCCGCAAAGTTGGACTTGATATGCAGTCTCTATCAGGTTTCACACTAGAGCCTGCAAGACATTGGCGATCAATGAATTTTTGAATAAGAAAACTTACCCTGAAGATTCCCCACTCGACACAGGCAGAGTCAATGGCCTGAATAGTGGTGATTCTAGACTCCGAGGATCCATTGAGACCGCTTAAATCGATGACAGGAATTGAAGCATGGCTGACTGATAAAGGACTTGTGGTGAATGGCAAAACATATTGTGAAGGCAGCGTAAGCAAATTAGGCAGCATATCAGTAAGGTACTTGACCCCTTTTTTGTAATCGTCACTCTCATAGGCAGCAATCTCCTTTTTGTAATCGCCATTGCTTCGCAGCTCATGAGCAGGAGGAGTCGTCTCGATGGTGGCAAGTACTTGAGAAGACATTGTTGTATCTGGCGTTATGTGATTGAATTGAATGAACGTTAAAAACTAGGGTTGATTTAAAGAGCCATCGTTGTGGCCAAAAGTTGTTTGTTCAGCTAATTAAAGGCTGTATCTTGACAAGACAGTGCGGGCCCACGTACACTTTTGTCTTCTTCTTTTTTTGAAAGGTGGGCCATGTACTTTCAAACTTCTAGATGGTTTTTTATTTTTATTTTATTTTTTTATTTTACATAAAAGAGGAAGATTACAAAGGCAAGTGGGCCATGTACTTTCAAACTTCTAGATCGTTTCGTTTTTTTTTTCTTTTTTTCTTTTTTTTTTATACATAAAATAGGAAGATTACAAAGGCAGGTTGGATATTTTCAGAAAAAATGTTCTGTCTGGTAAATCATAACTCATATATAGAAAATCTTTTTTAAAACAGAGAGAGTGGTTCACTATATGTGGCTTAAGCAACACCACTGAAGCCAAACTCTCCAAATACCTTCTAGATGGTGCTTGTTTAATTGGGTTAGGCACTCTACGTGCATCGCAAAGAATCATATGTTTTGTTTGAACACCACATGATTTTTTCCTAGGATTCTGTGTCTCCCCAACGACCCACACACCACTTCAGTCTAATTTACACACGGTTATTTCGTAAGTTAGGTAGTTAGCTCTCCAATAACCCACCCACCCCTTCAGTCTAATTTACACATGGTTATGTCCTAAGTGAGGTAGTTAGCTCTCCAATAACCCACCTACCACTTTCAATATAGAAGAAATGGATAATTATTTACTGGTACTTACTCTCTTCATCCCAAAATTGTTAGTTTTATTTTGAAGATTATAACTTTTGATGGTAGTGTGATAAAATTTAAAGTTAATCCTTACTAAAAGATACTTTTTTTATCCCAAAATACATGTCCTGTAAGAAAATTTTAACTTTTTATAATAGTGGAGTTTTGATAGTTTTTTATTATATTGATGAGAGTGAAGTTAAAATATGCCATTACTAAAAGATAAAATAGTGTTCCATAATTAGTGCAGTTGTTTAGTTAAAATGATAGTTTGAAAATGTTACAAAAAATAGTACATTCAATTTTGGAATGGGACATTTTTTTAGGACATCCCAAAATAAAAATATGGACAACTATTTTGGAACAAATGGAACAAAAATTACTTCGTAATTAGTGCACAATTCAATATCAATATGATAGTTCAGATATATTATGCAAAAAGTACATTCATTTTTTTGGAATGAATATGTATTTTGGGACATCTCTAAATAAAAAGATGAACAAAAACATTAGGAGGGAGGGAGTAGTATTTTCTCTCACCGGTGACCCACCCAACACTAAAATCCTTCTTCTACGACTTTCAGCATTTCTTCCATTGGTCGTTCATTGTTATCATTAAGGGTGGTAAAATTCGACACGATCTGTCAACACGACTCGAACACAACACCATATAAACGAGTTTGGGTTGATTTGAAATGAATTCAGATCATAAATGGGTTCACATAATTAACATGATTAATTAATCTTGTTGTGTTAGAATTGAGGGGTTCAACTCATGTAACTCATTGATAAATGTTTAAATGTGTACAATTAATTCATTTCAACATTTTTTTTTTTTTTTTTGGGTCATAATTCATTGCAACATAAACCCTCACAAAAATATACCATAGCTCCTTAGTTGTCATTATTAATTGGGTTCTGTAACAACTATCTAAACTTGTGTTTTTAAAATTATTATATTGTGAACTAGAAGTTATTTAATAATTTGGTTGGATTGAGACTTACATTATTTTTTTTTATTGAAGATTATAAATAATTTAAATAATTTAATCTCTACTTTTTGCAAATAGATTATTAAACAGATTAACACAAGTAACCCGTTTGAGAGTCTTTGACATGATTATTATACGGGTCAGGTTAGTATTGACATGTTTAGTATAATATCCTTAGGCAAACATGACGCAATTAAGACTCGCAAACACGAATTGGCCATAATCGTCATCATTTCTACCTTTATCCTATATAGAAGTGCGCCATATAAATTCCCTTAGTTCATCTTTTTCTATCATACATAATGTCCTTTTACATTTAAGTTTTTAAATTTGTTTTTAATTACCCCATCCACTTAAGTTTTGTCAAACGTGAAGTAAAACACATGTAACGCTAATAAAGACAACATAGTTAGAATAATTTCAAAAGATATTAATGCAGATGGTATGAGATCGACCTCTCATCAAAGGAGAGGTTTTCTATTTATGAAAGCATGCAAAGAAACAAAATGCAAGAAATAAATAAACAAAAATACAAGTAAACATGCAATATGAAAAAGATAAAGAAATATTACGGTCATGTGATCTTTCGAGAAAAAATAAATAAAGAAATAATAAAAATAAAATGCTAAAATGGTTCTACATATTATTTGTGCATAATAATAAAAGTAACTTGATGCTTGATGAGCTAACTTATCCTAAGCATTAACATATCCAACCCAAGAAATGTATAAGGAAGACGGTGTCGGTGGCTGAAAGTGGTGAGCGGTGGTGGTAGTAGAAGGCGGTGGTAGTAATGGTGGTGGTGAAAGGTGTTATCCAAAAGTATAAGTGTATCATTTATTATAGTATCATTATTTAAATATTATGATAAATTATAATATATATATATAAATATATATATATATATATATATATATAATATCGTGATAATAGTATTATATATTATACAATATTATAAAACAATATAATAAACTATATAAAAAGAAACCTGATAATAGGTCGAGGTTAGAATTTAATTTTGTATCCTTAAGACAGATTAATTTCGCTATGATTCTAACAGACTCTATAGCATCTGTCTCCCAAAATATAACGACCTTTCTTTCTTAAGTAGCAGCACTGCAAACCGGCGAATCGGCTCGATGTAGTACTCTCTCTCTAAACCAGACTCAAACTCATACACTAACATTATGCATATGTAAAGAAGGGAGAAGAGAGGAAGAAAGTTCTGAGTTTTTGGTGTGATTTGCAAATGACCCAAGAGGGTATTTATAGGCATGCAGATGCCTTTTCGGTTGACCCGAACAATCGCTGGATGCAATGGTTCAATCCGAACCATCACCAAAGACACCTATTCGTATGGGGTGCACTGGTTCACACCTGGTGCAACCTATGGATGTATTGGTTCGAACATTAAGCCCAGACGCCGAGGCCCAATTCAAATATTCCGTATAATAAAACATTAACCGGATTTTACGATTAAGCCCAAACTTGGACTGGGCGGGGCGTGCGTGGGGTAAATAGTTTGGACCCAAACTTGCCTAGGTCCTCCCCTTTTAAAAACTTGGGTACCCTTGGACCCAAACTCAAATTCCAAACTTGGGCTATACATACTTTAATTGGTTTCACTTTATTTTCAATTTGGGACAACTACTTCCCATGTATACAAACCCATTTAAGCTTATCAAAACGCCTTACTTTGGGGTTATTTTCTCATTCACCAAGAAACAAATTTGAGAAAGTAAATATGCCACCTGGAGATGAACGCGTTCATTTATAGATCCGTAAGAAATTCTTAACTGAACCTACTCAAAATTTCATCCAAAGTTTATGTTTTGTATACTCTATTTCCAACAAAAGGCGGTGGTGATTGTGATGGAAGGTAATGGTGGTTTTGGACAAGACTTGCCTATTCACCGGTAAGTACGTCATCCCTACATATCGCTGATATAGTCCAATCACAAATGCACAAATAACCTGTAATTATAAAATTTGGAAAGTAATAAATAAGGAAAACATAGAGGGTGATTGAATTTACTCAAAAAAAAAAAAGTTATTTTCCTTATTTATTACTTTCTTGATTTTGTAATTACGAATTATTTGTACATTTGTGATTGGACCATATCAGCGGTTAGTAAGATGACCTATTCACCGATAAGTAGGTAAGTCTTATTAAGTGGTTTTTGAACTTAAAATATGAGAATTTAATAGATTTAGTTATAAAATGAATTTTCATTATAATGAAACCACCATCTATTTTTAATTACATATCAAATAAAAAATAATAATAATAATAATAATAATAAATAAATAAATGATTAGAATAAACACTGTGATTGGGTCCATAAAGACCAGTTAAACCGATGAAGGGATTCAAGCAATGGCTAATAATGTGCGCACCTGCGCACCTTTTTTTGACATATTATTACCAACCATGAATGGCTTACACCATCAATTATGGCATTTCCACGTTTCAAAAGAAAAAGTAAATCATCTAGAAGATTTCTTTCTCACACTTCAAAACGCAATCATCTAGAAAATTAATGGATAATTAGTTGGACAACATATAAATGACTGGTGGGAATGTCGGTGCCCATTTGGATCCACCCGCCCCTTTCATTTACATTCATGACCTTCTAGGTGGTATCTCTGTTTCATATTAAATGCACATTTTAAAATTTGAAAATCATTATTACATTTTATCTTTGAACATTTAAGATCATTTTTAATCATATTCCTTTTATATATTCATATATTACTTCTATCTCATATTAAATGTTCACTTCAAGAACTTTGACTCACAAAAATTGTAAATCAAAATTTTCGAAATTGACAACTAATATGTAACGGAGGAAATATTTCTCTATCATCGTACATTCATGACAGGTGCGTTGGTAGTCCAGTCCGTAGGGTAAGTAAGTATTATTTGGGACCTTCGGCTCGTATTTGAAACTCATTAACTTTATTTTCCAAACTTTTTTAACATCTAATTTCCTAATCCCACTAACCATTACTAAATCATTAAAGAAAAAGAGCCCAAGGGTTGGCCTAATTGAAAAAAACTTGGGCCTGGTAACATCAGGTATCGGAATCGATTATTATTAAGCGCAAATAATTCCTTAGAGAGATGTGCCTGAGTAAGTACCAACTAATAAAATAAAATAAAATAAAAAAGAAGAAAGATTTCACCGTACACCCACCCATCGACCATGCCGCTGTCTCTTTAATATGAAATTTACGTTTTCCATTATTAGAGTCGGGAGATGCTACACAATAGATACTTCGGGTTATTGAATATT